TTTAAAAAGTTACAAATACAATCATAACAATGAAAGAAATAATAATACACAACCAATGTAAACAGATCAGGCAGATTCGCAAGCAAAATATCAATTTGATCACCTGAATTGCATCTGATAAAAAGGAAAACAACAAAAGTAGAGAAATATGAAATAATAGATGTAAACCAAACAAAAACATAAGTAATAAGCAATGGGTGGTTACTTTACAATTATTTGCAAGAAAATCTTGCTTCGTAAAGCAGAGAATGAAGTAGAAGATTGCTGAAAAGAATAAGTATTTGAATTGATCAGCATTCATGAATAAAACACATTCGAAGTTGAAAACTAATATTGAGAATATAGAATAGATTGTAACACTAATACAGAACTACCATTAAAATTGTAAAGCATAAAAAAAAAAGCAAACAAAAATAAACAAACTTTATGAATATTTTATAATAATAACAGTAATACAAAACTATCTTTAAAATTATAAAGCATCCATAAAAAAAGAAAACGAAAATAAAGATACTTACAAATTGCAATGAGTGCCACCTTTGAGATCTAGCAATAAACACAGTAATAAACTGCCAAACATATTAAGGTAAAATTATGAACATTACATTTTATAATAAAAGTTATTAAATAAAATAACAATTGAAGAATATAAAGTTATAACATAAATGCTCGCTTTGAATATCATAATGAATTTCACAACTCTATGCTTAATGCATGCCATTGAATGAAGAAAGAAATTGCAACCTACAGTAAAAATTAAAAAAACAACATTGAATGATACGTAACTAATTCAAATTTTCAAAACATAAATGCACACATACAGAAAAAAAAAACTTGTTAAAAACATTGAAAATACAATGAAAGATACTAAAACACAGAAAGAGTGATAGCTATGACTGAATAGCTTTCAATTAGTATAATTAATGCAATGATTAGGAGAAGTAATTGAAAATTTTAGATATAAGTATAAATGGTTTGGTCCACATTTAATGGAATAATAATAAAATACTAATAAATTCGACTAAATCTTTTTTTTTAAAAAAAATAAATCATAAATTTCAAGACAGTGATCTTAAAACCAAGTAGGTGGTCTTTTTCCAACCATGGAAGAATGGACTATAGTACTTGCAACGAGTTGATTTAACAACCCAACTACCCAAAGAATTTTAGATGGCTTTCTTTAATCACCTTAGTGGGCTTATTGTTAAGCTTTAAGTCTATGATGCTCTTTAGATCAAATTTGGACGTTGTTAAACAGGCTTTTATTAAAAATCTTTATTATACTAAAATAAAGAAAAAAATCACTAAAAATCTTATTAAAAATATAAACAGAGATAGATTCCTGAAGTAGCTAGTTCTTTTATTAGGGATCATTATATACAAAATAAAAATAGACATTGTCGAGAACTTTGATGAAGAGAAATTGGATGATTTATATGAAAGAGATCAAATCTCTCAAAGTAGAACTTTTTTAATTTATTTGAACATTAAGATATTTCCGAGGAAAGAAACTGAATAAACTTTTTCAAAAGCAATTCATGTAGTACAAATCTACACAGTCAAAAGCAAAATGTTAAACCATAGAGTAGTAAAAATAAAACTCAAATGCCAAATAAAAAATAAACAAAGAAAGGGTCGAGTCAAACAGTTTAGGTTGTAAGAGAAATAAGTAGAACGGATTCAAAGGTGAATTTAAAATAGACTTGATATGTATGGGAATTCCAAAATCATTAATGGTATTGACAGATATGAAATTTGATATCAAATTGAGATGAGTATGTCTTTTGGGCGAAAACCTTTTTGTTTAATCACCATGACGTATTTTCATATTATAGTTTTTCTATATTAAAAAACCCATTAAAAATTAATCACAGTCAGACTGATGAAAAGGACTAACATGATAAGGTCAAAAATTAACTAGAATGAAGCAAGGTAAGTGCTTATTTTTGTATAGGTTATAGATAACAGCAATTTGCTTAAATGAATACAACTATAACATAATTAGTTTACATGCTAAAATAATAAAATATTTTTGTAAAACCAACAAAATGATAAATATTTATTGATATTCAATTACTAGATTTTTAAACTCTTAGTATTAAAATAAAAAAAATGTGTAGTAAAAAATTGAAAAAAAAAACCAACTCATTGTACTTCTATCTTACTTTGTATTTTCTGAAATTTAAGTATATTAATATCATGTTTTATCCTATATTTACTTTACTGCATTTAATTTTATTTTTTTTAAAAGCACTCTTAAAAATTACTATATTAAGTAATATTTTTTCAATGCATTGAAAATCATCAAGTTACCTACTAATTATTACATCGAATACAAAATATTTTTGTAAATTATATATTAACTAGTCTTCAAAGTGCTCTAAATTGACAAAATCTTGATTATAAATATACACAATAAGAGGAAAGGAAGTTTTTTTTGCCATTATATAGAATGTTTCAAAAGCAATTGTACTAAACTTGTTTCCTTTTCTCAAACATTATTTTTTCCTTACATTTTAATTTTAGAGGAAACAAGGATTTGCCGAATACTAATTCACTTTAGATGTTTTCTTACATTCTTCTACATTAAAAATTATTTTAATTTTTATTACAAGTAGTTTACTTGATAAAAAATTAACTACTTTATAATATATATATAGGGGTCAAAATACTCAATAAATCCATGTATTCATGTATTTTGTTAAAGTTAATTCTTGTACTTAAAATCGAAGTAATTTAGTTTTTTAATTTTTAAAATTGCTTCAATTTAATTCATCTCCCTAATGGCATCTGATCTTACTATTAAAGGGGATAATGTCAGTGCTGATGTGGCACCAACATGATGATGTGGTATTACTACATGGCACTGACGTGATGACATGGCAATGCTGATATAGCAAATCTAGAAAAAAATTTAAAAAAAATCTATGTCATGTCATAAGATCTAAATTGAACAAAAATATATAGTATAGGAATTAAATTGAACAAAATTAAAATATTTAGGGACTAAATTAAAAAAAATTTTAAAAATATAAATCTTTAAGTAGATGATACATATACTTATTAATAAGCTAAACATTTAAGTAAAAAAGATTCATGGTGTTAAGAAATATATATATAAATATTTTCTTACTTAATCATTTGATTCTATTAACTATTTTACAAAAATTAAGTTTGAATTCTCTTTTTATAAAAATAAAATTATAATATTTTATCGTCGACATATACTTATAAAAGAACAACATCGTCATTTACACAAACTTTAAAAACGCTTAGAATTAAAGTTTCATTTTTACAGTTATAAAAAGCAATAGCTACTCTTCTTCTTGATCACCCTTCAATCTTCTTCTCCGTTCTTTGTTTTTCTCATTAGAAGTTTAATTCATCAATTAATTATTACGAAATTTGGGCAATGACAACAGAATTACTTTTATGGATTCTGACTTTGATTTTTTTCTCTAAATTTTTTTAATTTAAAGGCCAAATAGCTTTATGATGATAGAGTTTATGTGTGTTTGAGTCTCATTGTTTTTATTTTATTTTATTTTTTTTTAAAAAATGAAGAATGGAGATATGGAGTTAACTATGATTATGAAAATAATTCCTCATTCAAATTTGCTTACTTTGGGCATGATAGACCTTTTATTATACCCGTAGATTCTAAGCTACTTCACCTTTTCAATTTTTTGTCTACTTTTTATGTTTTTATTTTGTTTGATATTTTAGGTTATACTTTTTAAGTTGCAATTTCTTAAATTAAATATTATATTTATGGCTGATAGAGTTAAATATAATTGTAAATATTTGTATCATTCAAAGATATAACTTGAAATATTCAACAAAAAAAACATAAAAAATAAACAAAAAATTAAAAAAGTGAAGTAGCTCAGATTCTATGAGTGTAATAAGAGGTTTGTCATAACTAAATTGAGTAAGTCAGAACAAGAATTATTTTTATAAGCATCGCTAACTCTATATCTCCCTTTTTCATTTTTTTAAAAAAAGAAAAACCCAAAAAACAAAAACCAAGAACAATGAGGCTAAGACAAGCACAAACGTTGTTATAAGAGAATTGTTTAGTCCTTAAATTAAAAGAATTAAAGAAAAATTAATCAATGAATTAAACTTCTAACGAGAAAAACTTAAAAAACTAAAAGGTGGTCAAAGAGAAGAGTGGCTATTGCCTTTTATAACTATAAAAATACAACCCTAATTCTAAGACTTTTTAAGATTTGTCTATATGATGATACTATCTTTCTATAAGTTTATATTCAAGACAAAATATTAGATTTTTTTTTATAAAAAAGAAATTCAAACTTAATTTTTGTAAAATAAATAAATTATTGTAACTATTATGAAATAAAAAGATTAAGTAAAAACCTATTTATATATATTTCTTAGCATTATAAATCTTTTACATTTAAATATTTAGTTTATTAACAAACATATATGTATCATTTACTTAACGATTTATATTTTTTAAATATTTTTTAATTTAGTTCATAAATAATTTAATCTTGTTCAATTTAATCCTTATATTATAGATTTTTATTTAATTTAATCCCAACGATGTAATAATTTTTTTTTTAATTTTTTTTTGATTTGTCACATCAATATTATCACGTGACATAGATACATCAGTATGTTAATATCACATGGCACTATCACATTATTATATTAGTGTCACATTATCAAAATGTGCCATGTCAGTGTCGATATCTTCCTCTTTAACAATAAAATTGGATATCGTAAGAAAAACAAAATTAAAATAATTTTTAAAATTAAGAGTTGTTTCAATATTAAATATAGATATTTAATTAAATAAAATATGAGTACAAAAACTTGGTAGGTATTTTGATCAAATATTTTTTTAACTTTAATTGCTTTGAATAATTTATAACTTAATATTTTAATATTTTAACGTTACTTCAAATTTTGTATTTAAAAATATTCATTTTTATATATAAATATGTAAGCTATGGTACGGCTTACGGCGTGCATGCTGGAAATTCCAATGGAAACCAAGGGCATTAGCGACCTCCCAACTGAAATTGCAATATTGCATTTTCTGCAATAATACTATTGAAAATTTCGTCCACTTCCATTTCTCCGATCATTCTCCGGTGATCCTTCCTGCGCCATTCTGGTTCGTACATCTTCCATCTTTTACATTTAGTTTTCCTATGTATTTGTTTTCTAGATTGTTTTTTTGCAATCGGTTGAGATTACAGGAATTGCGATGAATGTAGGTTTGCGAGAGATTGGGGCGAAATGAGTCAGGTGTTCGAGGGTTATGAGCGCCAGTACTGCGAGCTCTCCGCCAATTTGACGCGCAAGTGCACCTCTGCCAGCGCTCTTGATGGAGGTAAGGAAACGCTGTCGCATTTCTGCTCATTGATCCCTTCTTTATCGGCCCAAAATTTTGTGTTTGATGTTTTAATTTGTAGCGGATTAGCCCAAGTCTCTATTTGGTTGTTGGTTTTGTTACTTTTGCTATTTCGAATTTGCTTGGTCGATTTGGTTGTAATTGTAATACAGCATAATTATATTTGATTTGTTTTAGAAATTTTAAAAGGTAAAATCATAAATTTTGGTTTTCAAGAAATTTGAACACTTTTATTTTTGATCTTTCAATATACACACATATACACCGGCACAATAGTGAAATTTAAATTAGTTGGGCATACAGGGTTCTATGATTCTTCATTCACATTAGTATCCGCGTTGAACTCAGTGTGTTGATTTTGATTATACTGATGACAAATAAGGAAATGAGATGAAATATGTCTTAGTTCTATATGCTTAGGTTTTTGCTCAATTGGTAAAAGTAAAAAATGATATTTGAGGGTTATTTAAGTATTAGGTTCAGTGTTTCCCTGGGTTTTTTGGGTGGATTGGAAAGAAAAATTGCATTTAACACTGTAACCAACACAAATCACAGGTTTTGTGAATGAATTGTTTGACGTTGATGCTTAATATGTAGTATCATGTGTTTATATGTATACTAATTCTAGAAAGATTTGTTCGGAGATAATCAATATATTTCTACTGTGTAATTTGTTTTGTACATTCTGTAACTTCTTTAGTTTCTTGTTTTCTTGATTTACAGAACAGAAGAAGCAGAAACTTACTGAAATCAAAGCAGGATTGGATGATGCTGATGCTTTGGTAATGTAGAAGACATTTTCTGTAGCTAGGTTTGTTTTTCTTTCGACATTCCTGGATTTGTAATGTGATCCTTGTCTGAATTGTTCCAGATTCGGAAAATGGACCTTGAAGCAAGGAGTTTGCAGCCAAGCATAAAGGCAACACTTCTTGCTAAATTAAGAGAATATAAAAATGATCTAAACAACTTGAAAAGTGAAGTTAAAAGAATTACTTCAGGTAATGCAGATCAGGCTGCCCGAGATGAGTTGTTGGGGTCTGGAATGGCAGATGCAAGGATGGTAAATGATACTACTTTCTTTTCTCTGAAGTGCCTTCATTTTGAACTTAATGTTGGTATAGTTAAGCAACCATCTACCATGAAACTCTTTTTCCTTCTTATATCAGAACAATGTTTGTGAAGCATGTCCTGTATGTCCTATAGCTTCATCTGATTGTTCACCATTAATTTTCATTTGCCCTTTGACAAAAACCAGGCCCATAGAAAAAACTATGTTGCCTGTTTTTTAGGCTTTTGTGCATTAAATATATGAGATGTTCTGCTTACAGGATGCTGAGATTTGAATCTAGAATTTATAGATTGATGAAGCCAAAGTGAGAGGGAAAATGAACTTTGACTCAATACTCAGGGTTAAAAAGTTTGGGGGGTCTGGTACTGCTACATCCTAAATGTGACTTGTCTCTGAGACTGCTGATTGATAACAGCCTAGTTTAGCAACTGTTTCTAGAGGAAGAAATCATGGAATAGGTATTAGCAGTCTTGTGTATACACGTGTACGCAAATCCATTGCCACATATGCAAATGTGCACAAGCAAAAACAGGTTACTATATAAATCTGTTAACATTTTGGCTTTGCATCTTATTGAACTGGGAGAATGCCGGTCTCTGTAGGTAATAACATATAAACTTTTCTCCCTGTTGAATTTAAGGTAAACATCTTAATAACATTTTATTATCAACACTCATTGTTGGATGATGGCATAGGTCTCTGCTGATCAAAGAGGAAGACTGTTGATGTCAACAGAGGGATTAAACCAATCTACTGAGAGAATTAAAGAAAGCAGAAAAGCAATGCTGGAAACAGAAGAGCTGGGTGTTTCAATCCTGCAGGATTTGCATCAACAACGCCAATCTCTTCTCCATGCGCATAACACAGTATGCTTTTCACCCATTCTTGGGTTCCATATAGGGTTCACTGGCTTTAGAGTGTGTGTGTGTGTGTAGGTAATTTTGTTTCCCTAATCAAACAGCCGAGATGTAGCTGAAAATGTAACAAATTTGCTTCTTACTTCTGCAGCTCCATGGAGTAGATGACAACATTAGCAGGAGCAAAAAGATACTGACAAACATGTCAAGAAGGTTGAGCAGGAACAAATGGATAATTGGCTCCATAATTGCAGCCCTAGTTCTTGCCATCCTATTTATCCTATATTTTAAGCTGAGTCATTAGCGTGCTGGCCTTGGTGGTTCAAAACTCCAATTTTTCGATGTTTGTAATATCAAAGAAAAGGCATGTATGTCATCCATTTCTGAGTTTTGCGTGCCATAATTGCTTATTGTTTGTTCATCCAAGGCTTGCACTACAGCTTCCACCTTAACTTTGTTATGTAATACCCTTATGCCTCATTATGAAAGTCTCTTATTTTCTTGTCTTCCGTGCTTCTTACTTAAATCACATAGCTAAGACGAGATATTTTGCATTTCTATTGTATGATGATCTGCCAGCGTTTTGTATGAGCTATGTAAACCATGGAAAATTCAGGCATCCCAGGCTTTATGCCTAGATTGTAAGAAGGCTCAATTTGCTTAATTTTAATTCAGTCTGGTCAGATTAGGTAAGATAACCTAACTTGTAGGACTGAAGAAAGACCTAACTTGAGAAATTCTAGTTGCCATCCGAACCCGATTACACCCCTAGTTTAGTTATCTAATGGTCATTCATTTGTTCAAGTCATTCCCCAGCTTCATTCCACAGTTGCATGCTTTAGCCTTTCAACAGACACTGGCAACATCAGCAGACACTGGCAACATCAGCGCAAATGTAAGAATGTAATTCGAAACACAATTTCACCCCTGCCAGTTATCATAATCAAACAGCACATGGTCCTGAAAATCCGTTCACTGATTCATTTAGTTGACAAACGGGGCCACAAGTTAATCATAGAAACAAATATATAGAAGTGGAAAAGCCTACAAGCTTTGCATTTCATTGAAAAAGTCCTACAAGATTGCATTCTCCTTTGAGAACAATTTTAGAAAGTTTCAGTTCTCAAAAACTGGAAAAGCCTTTGGAATTGGAACCTTTTTTAACACTTGAACCATGAAAAGAATATAACAAGAAGTGCTATCTCCACTGACATGCAGTCGACAGGGGAACTGGCACCATCAGTTACTTCCTTATATTAGTTCCTTGAGCTGATGCTTACCTCAATAAGGTGAACCAGGGCAATTTAGGCATCCTGATGGAAGCACTTTGCAAAAACTTAATCCGGCCGCTTTCACCTGATTGATATTTGGGATGCACATTTGTTCTGATCTGTGTTCTGCACTCTTCAATCAATACATTGATGTTTAGACTTCTTCAATGGAAAACTATGTCACTCATTCTCATCCTTCCATAGAGGAAACAGGCAGAGGTACACATAATCTAAAAGATCCTCAAAATGTACAAACTTGACATCAACATCCTAAAGTATCATCTTCAGGAGAAGAATCCCTTGATGCCTGCTCCTCCTCTTCTTCATCCTCATCATAATCAGCAGAAGCAGGTTGCCCGTTCAGATCTACCATTACACCATTTACCTTCCTGACAAATTGTCCCCTCACACGAGGCCTCCTTTCAGCTAGCCTTTTTCGATTAACATACCTAATTTTCTTATCAAAACAGCGCTCCTTCCTTTTCTGCCTAAATTTGATTAATGCTGCCTCCCTTCTGTCAACCTTACTTAATTTCACTTCACTGGTAGATGAATTTCCAAATGATGGCCAAGGGTGACCAGTTGGCATCTGACCAGGTTGTACACACATATTAACTGGGTAGTATGGAAATGATGCCATCCCACTTACATGAGGATGTGAAAGACATTGTTGAAGATGACTGTATTGAGGTAGCACAGAAGAAGCGGCATGGTTTTGAAGGTCATGGAGGTTGTTCTGAAACAACTGGCCTGATGACTGCATCATAACTTGATTTACAACTCCTGGCATATAGTATGGGTAAGCAGTTTGTGTAGGTAAACCAGATAAATCACGTTGAGGTTCATTTCTTGGAGGCACAAGCACCTGAGCAAGCTTCTCTTCCTTAAAATTCCTTTGTTGTGAGAACTCCATAGACACAGGAGGAGTAGAAGACCTCTCCAAGGAAAGTGAATCTGGTATACTGCTGCTGCTAGGAAAGTCATCTCCCTGTGAACAGTTTTCCCATGCTTCTCCATTCTCATGTACTTGGACATCGTTAACCACTAGTTGACCAGATTGCTGAAGATTCTCTTCAATGATCTTATTTTGAGCAGCATTTTCGTCATGAGGGGTGACTACTTGAGTACTGGTTTTGACTGCATTTGACTTCACATAAGTAAAAAAGGCTGATGACTCACCAATCTTTAGCTCACTCTTCTTTGGACCAGATGAAAATTGCCCTGCAAAATATCGCCAACATTCCAACATCTTCTTTATAAGAGCAATCCATGAATGGATTGGAAACCAGAAAAGAATCAGAGCCATGCTGTTCCTGTATTGATATGTTATGACATGATAAAGAGTGCTTGCATGGTACTGAAGTATAGATTAGAGAGAAGACACAGATTATTCCTAGTAGCATGAAGTCAATTCCAGTTCACAACATGTAAACTAGAATGCTATTTTTGGTAAAGGAAGCCTCAAATAAGAAACACCCTTGTAGTATTAGAAAATAAACAAGAATGTAATGCTTGCGGTAACCTAGCCATCAAACAAACTAAAATTAGAAACAGTGTCAAAACATTAAAGAATCTCATCAAATCATACTCTTCTTCTTCTGACAAAAAACAAGGCTAATTTTGACACAATGCTTAACAATCTCCGACTTGATTAATAGTAAACAAGATAAAATCCCATGCATTCATAGAAGAAACATTATTGAGAATTTGTTTCAAACTGAAGCCTTAACATTTTAGAAGCAATATGATAATAGAAGGCAAAATGATGTCATTTCACACTAGCCTAATAAATATCCCATGCATTAATAAAAGATAATTTCCCTCAAATATGGCATGCAACAGTAAGCTGAACGGAATATGAAAATTCATGTTCAGGACAGCCCAACAATTTTCAGGCATGGAGAAGTTCAAGAGAACTCAACCTGTTCTGCGGTCACTTATTCCTGGAACATCAGGACGACATTCTGATGAATCAGTTTGAGGAGGCTCTACAAGAGCAGCAACATACTGAAAGAGGAAAACACTTAAATGAACACAAACAATATATTTCACTCTTAACACCATTGATTTGCCATACATTTGCAAAACCAAGTACAGGTTGAAATTTATGGCATGTACATACAACCACATAGATGTTAAAGAAGAAAATCTTGATTGCCTAAAGCTTTTGTGAAAAGAATCATACAGAATGATAGATGAATGGTTTTCCAAATTTAAATAATCATATCTGGTAGTTGTAGAGGACTGCCAATAGTTTAAGGCATTAGAAATCTGTAAGTACCATTTTTATGTTCCTTTCAATTTCACTTTGTTCACTGGTTACTTTTAAACTTCAGCAAGTACAATATCTCTCAAGTGATATGCCCTAAGGTTGATGCCAACATTACATTTACTTCTCAAGTTAAGTTTGCTGCTCATAATCCATATTATACACATATATTCAGAAGGATAACACATGTACAGATACAAATGCATAGATGCAAACATACATAAATGCATATAATTTGAAATTGTCTTGTGTATAATTTGTTCAAGGCTAGTGTTTGATTTCAGATCCTAATTTCTTCCACCCCTTAACATGACTATGATTTTATATTCTGCAAAGTACATATTCATAGCTATCATTTACAATTTCCTAATGCTGCTACTACCTGAACAGTTGGTTCAACTAAACAACAGTTTCCTTTTCAGGAGCCTAATGTCACCTACTTTATAAAGCTTATCTTAAGAATGCAACACTGGATGCTACGAGCATGGGAACAATTTTAACAGCAACAATCTGAAGAGGAAGAGGGTAACAACAGAAAATACAGTTAAATCACATATCTTTGCTTTCTAAAAATTGGTCAATATTCTACAGAAGATCGATGACATCATAGCCAAGCTTAAGTTCATATGGATGAGTTTATGACTAATACAGCGGATAATACAAAACTTTTCCCTTTTCTATATTTATTTATTCTTCTGGGAAGGGGGATGTGGGAAAAAGGACAGGTAGACGTCATCATATGTTAAGTAGGCCCATTTCCCAAACTTTCACTTAAGCCATGAACTTTTTACTCTATTGTTTGGTACATAAGCTTGCTGTCTCAGTTCAGTTAGTTCTATGTTAATAGATGAATTAATATTAAAGAACTATACAAATCACACAACTAAGAACACAGCCAGAAGCATGGGCCATTAGCAAAAAAATTCCAAGTCTCAAACCTCTCAAATAAAAAAGAGAATAGGACCTCAATAGTCTCTGAGAATTAACTTTGAAACCATGTTTACAAAATTGAAATTCCAGGGCCAAAAATAATACAGATCTCTTTGTTTTCTTGAATAATATATGATCAATTTGAAGTAACTGAAGTATCCCTTCAAACCGTTGAAGTAAAAGCAGGATGCGCAAATCTTGTTGGCAGCCTACATGACATATATATTACTTCAGGAGAAATAGCCTCTGTATCTCAGGATTGCAAAATCTGCTGATCAGAAGTCCATGTTCTCATTTTATTTTATTTTATTTTTATTTGATTCCATTCCTTTCTTCTTTTTTTTTTAAATTGCAATCACTCCTTTTGCAACTACATAAATTGAATAACTGACTCTATGTCTAAGACTGCAACTTCAACTCAAATATTGTATGCAAAATTCAGACATATAAAGGTACAATTCTAAGTGTGATTGGAATTTATAATGCAATCATGCATTTCATACCCTTTATGTCATGGGGGAAGGTCATTTCCCAGGGCAAAAGTTCATCATCTCATAATGCACAGTCAAACATATGTTTTCCCCTTAATTTTAAATGCAGGCAAACACGTATTTAGTTATCCAACTTCAATACTCACTTCGTCTTCCTGATGAGTTGAAACTGCGATCTCTGCATTGGTGCTCTTCCGGGACTTGTCGTCTGTGTCATCCGAGAACAAAGTAGTACTGTTTGTATTAGCATCACTAGGGTCTGATGCCACTAGATCAAAATCATAGTTCAAGATGTTCTTTTCTGCCAGACCAAGCTGCCAATGGGAAAACATCTAAGTGAATATCTAAAAATGGGTTTTGTTACACATCCATACAAATATACATGCACAATTTTAGAAACTTATGAAGCAATGCACAGTTAATGGGATTTTAGTTCCCTCTATCTGACCAAAATTATTACTTCTAATTATAGTCTTACAAGCCTCAACTGCTGTTGAACCATTTTTTGTAACAGAGGGGAACCAAGCAAAGCAACAAAACAGGACACATGAAAGACAACAACAAATACAACAAAGACTAGCTATGAAAAGAAAAATATATTGCTTAAAAACAGACCATGCGTCGCCTTCTCCACATGTGTGTCCACAAGTTCAACAATTCATTGGTGCGTAAAGGCTTGACAAGATAGTCAGCAGCACCAAGCCTCAAGCACTTAACAACAATAGAGACCTCATCCTGTGCCGACATCACTTATCATAAACAGGCAAGAAAAATATACACTGATCAGACCAACAAACTCCATAAGGAAAATTCACTTCCTTGAAACTTGGATGGCTGAAGAAAAAAGCGCAAGACAAACTTACTAATAACAGGAATACGGTGCAGATCCTTATCCCGCATAATATACTTTAACATCTTCATTCCCTTGGTCATTGGGAGGTCAACTTCAGCCAGTATGATATCAATTTCAGGTCCCTCAGCATTCAGTGCATCAATAACCTGTCTAGCAGACCTTACTGAAGTCACTGTGAAGAAAAATTAACACAGAATCATGAATTTGACTAATCACTTCTAGAAAAAATATAGAGAGCTCATATATGCAAATATATAAAGATAGAATTAAAATATAATATAAGACAAAAGTAGAGTTACAATAGAAAGCAGAAGGAACCTAAATTATTGACATGATGAACATACTCTAAAACATATGAAAATGTTTTATCAGATTGGCAAATAATCAGCGAGGAACAATACAATTCAACTCAAAATTCAGTTGCAATATTCAAATTCCTTACACAAAATTCAACGAGTACCACCCACACAACAAGGCATCAATTCCTAGGCATCTCAGTTTCACTTCATTAAATGTTTCAATACACAATTCAAATAACACCAACGCAACAAATAAATTAACACAAAAACTCAACAGATACAAAACCCAGAATTCACTTCCAAATACCCAATAACCAATCAAAAAAAGAAAAGCGCACGCAACAACAAAAACAACAACTTATAAATAAAAAATGTTACAAATAGCTTACAATTCAACAAGACATGAATTTTTTTTAACAAAAAGAATACTAATAAAAGCGCAGTTTACCCTGATAAGAACATTTCAAAAGAAGTGAAAAGACCTCCTCAGAGCTCTTAGGATCGTTATCACATAGCAATATCCTCACTTTGCTCCTGTCTATAAACCCCTCTCCTGCTCCTCCAGCTCCTCCTGCTCCTCCTCCTACTTTACACTCTTTATTCAAATTCAGCTCCTTGCTCTCCATATCCCCTCAACCCAAAAATGATCACTTTTCTACAAAAAAAAAAAAATCCCACAAAGGAAACCCCCCAAAAAAGCCCTTTTTTTCTAAATTAAAAAAAAATTACGGAAGAGGAAATACTAGAGAGAGCCGGTAAAGGTCATCCTCTCTCCAACAACCCAACTTGGAGACAAAATCACGGTTAGGGTTTCTAAATCCATCATGTGATTGAATCCTTTTTCCCCTCCGTACACCAACCGCCTAATAAAAGACTAAGATTGTTGTTAATCAACGTTACGGTTTTCCCCCCCCCCCCCTTTTTAAAATGAATCACTTTCCATTAAACGCAAGCAAAAGCTCAAGTGGACCCAATCGGATGGTCAGGATCAAGGGTCGGATGATGAAGCTGGCGGGAGCCATTAACGGCGCAGACTTCAGCTCACCAAGGATCTGGCGCACGTTAACGTAACGCCCAAAGGGAAGGGCGACGGAGGGGTTTCTCAATTCTGATAAAGGGCAGTCTTTTCTTATCCTTTTTCTTTTTTGGGTCTGAATCTGATAGAGGATATGTTTTTTCCTTCTCAGACAATTGTTAGCAGATAGAATTGGGGATCCTGAGTGTGACTAACGTGCGCTGGATTAGTGGGACGGATTTCGATCGTTGGATGGAAGGCCACGGAGGGAGGAGATTGGAAGAGTGGTGCATAGTGCGCATTGGCGTGTAGGATAGGGAAGATGATGACGTGGACTGAAAGGGGACACAGAACAGCGAAAAGTGGAGGAAAAGTCGAAGAGGGGCAAATGGTTGGATAGTTTGGTAGAGATAGAGAGAAGGCCACGTCACTCTTTGAGATCTCTATTCAAGAGCACCCCCCTCAACCCCTTCCCCAAAATATTAAAATTAAAAATCAAAAATAGCTTTTTGGAAAAAAAAGTAATTATCTGATTTTCATTTTTATTTATTTGGGAAAAGAATGCCTTATAATAAAAATCTAAAGAAAGGTTCACACGTAGATAGTCCAGCTGGAAAGTGCAAGGGAGCCGCCAGAGTAAAGAGGTGAGCAGCCAACCACAATACCACAAAAACCAAAAGGTTTCTTTTTTTAATTGCATTTATTTAGCTAATGATCTTTGCTTTCTGTCTTTCTTTCCTTATCAACGAAGCTGAAAGACACAGAATTCTAATGAAAATTACTTAAAGTCGAGAAAATACAAACTGAAGTTGATTAAGGGCAAATTAGCGAAGCTATTAAATTTAAAAATGGGTCTATTACTCTTTTCGTAAACTCTGAGTAGTAGGGCAGATTACAATAATTAACAAAAGATTAAGGTGTGGAATCATAAAGGAGAAATTTAATGATACATTTGAGGATGTTCTATCATCATTATTTGAATCACATGTTTACACAACATCTTAAATATCACTCATTTTTTAAATATAAATAAAAAAAATGAATTTCATTTTATTGATTTTTTTATTTTTTTTTCAATTTATTCATTTTTTCCCACAAATGTCACCTTACGTTTTCATTAAAATTTTTTCTATATTAATGAGTAAGGTATTGTTATTTTTTAGATATTTAAACTCAAATTCTATTATTTGATAGGATACCTAAACTTTGTAAATACCTGATTAAAATTTTTAATTGTTATTCGAATCCATACTTGAATACTCTAAATACTACTTTTTAAAAACTTGTACTTATTAAATTATTGATTAAAATAAATTGAAAATTAAATTTTATGTATATTATTAATAAAAATTAAATTAATAAATTAAAATTATTTCATAAAAAATAAATTAAATTTTAAAATTCATAATTAGAACAATTAATGAATTTTAGTAAATATTAAATTAATTATAAAGAATTTATAAATAAAAAATAATATATAAAAAACTAAATTTGAATATTAAAAATCATTATCCATACTTAAGTTTGGATAATGAGTACTTTAAAATCAATGCATGATCCTTAAGATAGTAGTTTTACTATCCAAATCGGTTGAGTAATGCAAGATACTTGTTTACAAGGTATTTATCGACATCTCTAATCTTATTTTAAATTTGTGAAAAGGAAAAATTTGTACATAATTATTTGATCGAAAAATACATGTACATGTTATTTAACTAAATATTTAAATGCATCTATAATATCTTATTTACTAAAAATTTGACAATTACGGAAAATTTCAATGTATAGTTTTTACCATGATACTCTTTAGTGTGTAAAAGTTAGAAAAATACAAGCAATGGTCTGTTAATGCTTATTTTAGTTACCGCCCTTGGATGGGCTTGTCGGCAATTAGAGCCAATCTCATAACACATATTTTTGCTTGCAGGAGCAACTCTTTCAATTAAATCAACCTACCTACCTACCTACTATTGATGTTTCATCCAAATTATTATTTTATTTCCGAATTTTTGTTTTTTGTTGGCAAAAATAGAGCTACATTTGGTAGGAATTAGGTATGATGGGTTGGGACTTTGGTGTCAAAATGAATTTGAAAAATAACATGACATTAATCTATTATATTTTATTTTTATTTATTTCAATTAATACAATTTAGATTTGATAATATTAATCTATAAATTTGATTAGTACTTTTAATCCTACCAATGAGGAGGAAAAGTTGAAAAAATTCCTTCTCCTTTTCACTTTGTTATCTCTCCTAATTTTTTTATCTTTTCACTTTTCCACCTTTCCACCTTTCTGATCAGAGCCACATCCTAATGAATCAAGTATATTGGCTATATTATGATGGAAATATATGAAAATAATTAATCTTGTACCCTTGTTTACTAACTGAAGTTCAACACAAGGAACAAAATTTCGAAACAACCAGTAGTAATTAACATTATAGTCCGTCCATGACCCAACTTATATAAAGAAATAATGATAATGAGAGAAAACTGATAAAGAAGATACATAGAGCATGGCATTTGCTGGTAAGTTTCAACTTCTTGCAATTTATTTTTCCTTTTTTTTTTTTAATTTAGGACCACCTTCTATATATATCTTTGTAAAGTCTGCATATAACATTGTTACACTCATTGCAATTACATAAATTGTCAGCTGTAGAATCAATCTCTTTTTTCCTTTTGGTACAAAGTATCAGTGTCCTTTGTCATCCTAAACTTTTTATGAATGTGAGAAATCAATTCATATCTATGGGTCAGAGTAACAGAGACATGTTACATATTTGGCAACTATCTGAAATTGTACTGATTCACTTTTCTACTCCACTAGTCAGAATGTATAATCAATTTTTTAGCCACCAATCGGATACCTGCACTCTGCTGATAATCATAAGGATCCAAGCTGAAGAATGCATCCACAAAGATCCCTGTTCTAAATAAGTTATCAAGCTCGGCAGCATCAAATTTACTGAATACAAGTTTTTGCACAGTACCAGAGCAGTCTTTCTGATGTATCTCCGTGGCATATTGGACAATATCCCCGCTGACTACAGTAGGTATGCTGACAGAAAAAGTCAAAGCATCAGGCAAGTTTCTAGAGTTGACAGTTTAAAAAACAGTATGCCTTCTCCAATTTTCTCAAATTTGCAAATCATATTGTTCTGTAAACTTTCATGTCACTTCATTCTTCCATCAATTAAATAGCTCATCAACAGAATAACAAAGGAGAAAAAGAAACCACGTATGGGTGAATCAAGATTCAAGAGCATGTCCTAGACCGCCTGTTTCCATTTTCTCTTTCCATTTTGGAAAGCTCATAAAATTTATCATTGTTTTCTGAGTTCCTATTAAATGGTAGTTTGATATGAAACTAACTCCTTTTTTACTCTGCAGTGTAAAATTTCATCCTTTTTCCTAAGCTAGGAGCTATTCATTTCCATGTCATTAGAAAGAAAAGGAAAATGAAAAAGCTATGAGAACTTACTGCAGTCTCACAGTTGGGTAGTTGACGTAACCATCTTTCTTGTTCACAACAGGCCTCCACTCAGAGCTGCTTCCACAATCCTCAAATATTTTCTTCACAACAGCATCACAAGCATCTAGAACCCTACATAAACTTCGAGACACATTAACCACAATGCTCAAGCGTGGCCGACCAGCCTGATCAACAAACTTTGTACTAATTCCAAATCGCACTCTCAAACCAGAACAAAAAAGTTGTAAAACAACATCTTCATGCAACAATTTTATTCGGCGGGTGCCACGATAATATGGTGTAAGAGATGCACTGATAGAAGTTACAGAAACTTCATCAGGCTCTAGGAATCCTGCATAACCACTGCAACCTCCAGCAACAGCTGTTGCGAGAGACACCTCAGGAGATTCTGGCTCAGGTTTTTCTTCCATGGTGACATCTGATTGATAGGCCTCCATTTTTATTTCATAGTTGAGCCGACTCATGTCAAAAGGATCTGGTCGAGCCGGATCAGACGCATCTAAACTTGGGACCTCCTCTCCAATGTGGCAAGTCAAAACAGAGATTATCGGATGGGGTTCACCATTTTCTAGATCTGTTCGAGATAAATTTGGAGCACTTTCAGAAATTAAACTTGAAGGGGCTTGCATGTTTGGGCTAGGCCCCTCAGGAGATGACTTGCTATTACTAATACTTCTTGTAGTCGGCGTTGGGGAAACCACACTATCTGCTGTGAGTATATCGGGGAGGCTCGACTCCTGCAGATATATTTAAGATTTTGCTTAAACTTTGGGTAATTAACCTTATAAAGCATGACCACTTATCCAACTCCAGGATGGATATCATCCTTGGCTTGTAGAGTAATATAAGATACCAAGAAGAATTCAAAATCACAAGCAAGCACAGCTATATGCATAGAGCCATAGTATTTACATCTGCCATTATGTGGCGGATACAACAAAACCTACATTAAGCTTACTCAATCAATTTTTTTTCCCTACTCCAATATGCAAAGTATAATTAAAGGAACTCCTATTACATAGATACAAAACTAATTTGGCGTAAATAATATAGAAAACCTTGAACTATGTCTATTTATGAAACTAAACTCTTATTCTTTTGTTGTACCTAAAAAAGCCCTTACCTTTTGGTTTGTAACATACAAGCCCTTAACCTTAATGGAAAATTAAGGCATAATGCTTGAAAAAGCGTTTAAACTATTCAAAAAAATTCAAATAAACCCTTATTCTTCTACTTTGTTCAATTAAGCCCTTGTATTTTTATTTTAGGCCAAATAGGTCATTGTGACTAATAGTTGCCTAATTGTCATTAGTCAAATTGTCACTTGTCATTTTATACTCGTGACGTTAATATGGAGGGTGAAAATAACCACATAACTATGTCATCATGCCATATTAGTACATCACGTAATCATCTATCATGGCATGTCAGCATGCCACGCTAGCATCATATAATATAAAATAACATATGACATTTTAACTAACAATAGTTAGTTAACCATTAGTCATAAGGGCTTATTTGACTCAAAATAAAAATATAAGGGCTTAACTGAATGTAATAAAAGAATAAGAGTTTATTTAATTTTTTTCTTAAATAATTCAAAAATCATTTTAAGTTCTATGCCAAAAATTAAAGATTCAATGTTAACTAACATATTTTGTTCATGTGGCATATGACATCGCTTGATGATGTGATCATGTGGCCCATTCCACAACAATTGCTATGTGGTCACGTTAGCTGCTACATCATATTCCAAATGGAAAGAAAATACCAACTAACATTAGGCTAACAGCTGAATATATTCACTTAAAGTAAAGGGCTTGTGTAGGTATAAATCAACGGATAAAGGCTTATGCGGGTACAATAAAAGAATATAGGCTTAAGCGCATAAATGGGCAATGGTTCAGGGACTTTTTGAGTACTTAAGCTTACTGATACCCATCGCAAGGTCCGCTCAATGGAAAGAACTTTGCATAAACATTAGCTCTCACGTCATATGCCACGTGGATAGAAAATGTCAGTTGACGTTAGGCTAACAGCTATTAATTTGGTTAAGGGCTTGTGCCAGTACAAATCAAAGGATAAAAGCTTGGTTAGATACAATAAAAGAATAAAGGTTTAGTTGCATAAATGAACGTAGTTCAGGGGCTTTCTTAGTACTTAAGCTTATTGATACCCATTGCAAGGTCCACTCAATCAGAAATGATAACAATATAAGCATAACTCAAAAGCAAACAAAAACATTATTGTTAAGAAAATCAGCTTCCTAAAAAGGAAAGGAGGAGTAGTGAAAGCTCTCCAAAGATTGATTTTAATAATATATAGCCACACAAGAATAACCAAAGTGCATACCATTATACAAACAAGTAGCAAACACTATAAGGTATACAGAAGGAGCTGGGCCCTATACATGGAAGAGAAAAGCCAATGTATCAAACTTGCTGGAGGATCTTAACTTCTCACTGCCATTAAAACGGCTTATCCACAAACCAAACAAATGAAACAATATTTCATCAAACTTTATGATTTAACATGTCAAAAGTTAAGAAAAGTCAAATATGGTGCTTAATTTTCAATTTCAGAAACTCTTAAATAAGTAAATCCAATGGCAGATCATTCCAAAGAATGCAAGAGCTACTAGAGTTAGCACTCCAAAACAACCATACCAGGAACAAAACTGTTGCACAGTACTTAAGAACTTCAAGGTTCATCCGGATATCATCCAAGCTCCTAAATATCGTAGCAAAAAGTTATTTCAAGGAAACATAAATTGCTACAGCCATCCAAGGTGAAAAGACTTAAAAGTTAATTCATCACAGACTTGCCTGTGTCTCTGCTCTCCAATATTAAAATAGTTTGCAAGAGTTGCCATCTGCATAGAAGTACATACACATGTAATCAACCAAAACTTCAGATTAACCCTAAAACTTGGAATGCCTTACTTAGAGAATTGCACACAACTAAGAAAGTAAATCATTAAACAAGAATCTAAATGTGCTAGGAACTTATATCACATAACTTGTAAATATGGTGGCAATGGAATTCCCTTTCCCCACAATGGAATAAACATAACACAGACAAACACAAATGTGATCAAGATTAGAGGTGCCAATTGAGCAGATTGGATCTTTTTACAGTTTTTGACTTTTTCGGCATAGGGTCAGGTCTCAGGTTTGGGTTGTATTGACTGGGATTTCTAGCGAGCTTTCCAGGTTCAGGTAAAAGCTTTGCCACATTTTCTCTACAAGCAGAAAATATCTGAGTTCAAGTTAGGATCAAGTTCAAGCAATTTCAGGTTTCAGATTTGAATCGTTGGGTTTGCCCAAGAGCTGTATTTGGGCCTAATTAGGTCGGGTTTTGCGGCCCCTAACAAGATAAACATGCATTTACCAGCTAACGGAAAATCCAAAATTTTGTAATTTACTCCATACAGCTTCGATACTTTTCCATATTAAAGGTAAGCTTTGTAACATGAATTAAAAATTACCTTCATGTTACCAGCTCTCCTTCCAAATCTTCGAGTCAACAACGCCAATGAATCAATAATTCCCTTAGGCTCCGGAGCCGGCCGACCAATCTTTTCAAACGCTTCCCTTATCCTCAAGCAATCAAACCTCACTATATTATGCCCCGCCCAAACCCTTCCTAAAAAAATTCATTTAAAAACTTAAAATTAATGAGACATTAAAGAGAGAGAGAGAGAGAGAGAGATGCGGACCATGAAGAAGGTCGTGGACTTTGTCGGCGATTTCGGAAAAGGAAGGTGCCGAAGCGACGTCCTCTCGGGTGATGCCGTTGCATCGTTCGGAGGAAGGGGAAATGGAAGCGAGGTTGTCCGGTCGGACCAGGGTGGAGTAGCTTTCGAGCTCCAGGAGCCTTTTGGAGCAAACTAAAATGGCTCCGAATTCGAGAATGGCATAGCCTTCGCCGCGTCGCTTAGGGACCGTGGTTTCCAGATCAAAGAAGCAGATTTCGGATCTGTCGCCGGACGTTGTCGGCCCCATTTGGAAGAGAGAAAAAACGCTAGTTCTGCTGTCGTGTTTGAAATGCGTCTAAGGATAGAGAATTCTCAAGTAAGACGCGCCAATTTAATGAGGAATATATAAAACAGTGTTTTTGTTTTTGTTTGAGGCAGTTGGGTTGCTTCGTTTGGTGGGTTTCCTTTTTCTTTCAAAGGGGGCCCATTTAAGTTCCTTTTCCTTATTGCGCTTTTATCTAATGCTCAAGAATGTACCTTTATTATCCCATCCCCCACTGCTAATTTTTTTTTACATAATATTTTTAAAAAATTTTAAATTATTGAGAAAATTTTTTAAAAAAATCTTTATTTATTTTTTTCTGTCAATCAATCCTTATATAGTAGTTGATTAATTAAAATTAATTAAAGTTATTTTATATCTAATAATATTGATATGACAAATTGATATATTATCATGTATGATAATTTAATATAAAGATATGATTTTATGATATTTTTATTATTATTTATGATATTAAAATAACAAATAATATTTCTACTAATGACAGTTAAATAAAAATTTATTTAAATTTTCTTAAATTGTTCAATAACTTTTTAAAGCATTATACTTATTTTTAAAGAGAAATTGTGAGTTATCCAATCTAAACTACTTCTTGGAGTTGATTATTGTTGGATTACACAATAATCCTCTTTATCTGTTGCTTCTCATTAATCAATTTACCTATTTCAAAATTCAAAACTTTCAAGATAAAATTTTAAATTAATGTAAGTATTAAAGTATTCCATTTGGAAACAAAAAGATATATTTATTTATTTATTTGTTTTTTGCTTTTGTTTTTGTGAAAGTAATATTACAAGTTTTTGACATAGCAAAAATTATAAACTTTTGAAGCACAGAGAAGAAACAGCTATGAATTTTAGTCGCGCACTTAATTGGTAAATAAAGAGTCTGCATGTTTTTTCTTTTAGGCATGAGGTTTGGTGACATAATTCCAAAAAGAGAAGCCCCAACCACCAAGTTAAATGGCACATGTCCAACTAGGTATCATTCTTTGCCCTTGTGCACAAACGTTCAAGAACCATTACTGCAAGGGCAAGCCATTCCTATTTCCATTGTAAAGTTAGTAAACGAAGGCAGCCTTGTCCCAATTCCCACGTTTCCTTGGTGATCAAGCCAAAACTCCTTGCAAGAAGAAGAAGAATCTTAAAACTCCTTGCACTACAAGGAGACAATTTAATATATATATATA